GGCCGACCTGGATAGCGGTGGAATAACGTCTAAGTATTGTCTGAATCGTGGGTGGAAAAGCCATTGGGGGCCCGCGGTTCGGACGTCCGAAGAGGGCACTTCTGGGGGAGTAGTTATCCTGGCTCGATCGTTCTTGGGGCTCCAGCAGCCTCAGCAGTTGTGCGGTGGTCGAGCTCTGGGTGCAGTCGCTTATCTGCCAGGGGGTGTCCACTTTGGGTTCGTCTCAGTGCGCGGTTTCGACGCCGAGGGCCAGACGGAACGTCAGTTGGAATTTCACAGGGCCGTAGGGGCCCACGTGGTTCTGGAGGGCCTTCCGTGCGTGGTGGGGGGGCGACTTCGATCTGGAACCGTCAGAGCTCCAAGACGCCGGTTTCCTGGAGCTGGCTAGGTGTGCGCTTATTTCTACTGGTGCGCCCACTTGCTATGGGGCTCGCCAATCTGACTTTGATTACTTCCGCGTCTCAGGTGGCCTGGCGCGAGGAGCTGAACGCGTGCAGCGGTGCGAAGACAGTGAATTATCACCGCGCTTTGTCGTGGAGTTGGTGTTTCATCCAGCTCTATGCCGCCTTCAGGCTCTGGGGTTTCGCAAGCGCCCCCCCCTCCCTGTTGATGCTCCTCCTGGGGTCCCCCCCCCCCCCTGGGGACTTCGGCAGGGCCCGCGTGTTTCTTGAGATGGGGGGGAAAGCTCTGAGGTCCCAGGATGCCGTCGAGGTGCAACGTCTGTTGGGTAGGGCTTGCCAGATTTGGGCCAACGGGTCGGGGGGGGGAGCTCGTGGTGCGTCTGGGGGAGGAGCTTCCTTGCTTAGGGACTCGTGGGAAGGGCCCCCAGGTGGTCTGGACGCCCATTCTGCAGAAAGACATTAAATCGCGTCGATGCCCAGAGCTCCGTGCCATGAGGTGGATATGCGCTAGGTTTCGAGCAGCTGCCCAGCTGTTACCTTCTGTTTGTCTGGCAACGCATCGGGCGACGTCAGGCGCACTGTTGGCGAGCTGGTCGACAGCTTGCTCCAGTCTGAGTGGGTCCCTCAGCAGCTCATCCACCAGGGCAACGTTCAGCTTTTGCAGGAGTTGAGGGGCGCGCTCAAGGACTGGGCTAGGTTTAACCATTCTCCCCACGCTAAGCTGGATGTTATTTCGGAATACTCGGTCTCAGAACGCACCGCCCCCCTCGGCGACGGAGGCGCTGAGGGAAGGGAGAGGTTGCATTTTGCTGGCGGCCCCTCTCTGTGCGACCCTGAGGGCCCTGAGGAGCTGCCCGCTACTTGGCTAGGCAGGCTGGGGGCCCTTCTTGTTCGCCAGAAAGAGGTCTTGGCTGCGTGCGCGAAGCACTACCAACGCATGGCTGGTCAGGATTGGCATGCGTGGCTGACTGAGAATCCAGGGTGCACGCAACGCTCGCGGCGCCATCACAGATCCTCTTTGTTGGCGCCCCACGTCCACCGTTTCGCCCGAGGGGCAGCTGGTTCCGGACCACCAGCAGCTGCTCGATGCTGAGGTCAAAACGTTCTCTGGCAGGTCAGAACTCCCCCCCCCCCCCCCCCGAAACTCAAGTGCAAGAGCGCCGAGGCCCTGCCCCCTCTGGAAGTCGAGTTTCCCCGCAAATTGAGCAGGAAGTACCCTGGGAGGAGCGCTGTGTCCTGTGGTGGGTTTCACATGCGGCACTTCCAGCGCCTCAGCGACGCCAGCCTGGAGGTGCTGTACTTGCTGCTGTCGCTTGCCGAGCGTTCGGCTATCGTGCCAACCCAGCTTTCGGTTGTTTTGGTGGCCGTCCTCGCTAAGGGGAACGGGGGCTTTCGGCCTATTGGCATTTTCCCCTCGGTCTACCGCCTCTGGGGGCGGGCCCGTCGGCCCTTGGCGGAGGCCTGGGGGCGCGCATTTTCCAGGGGCTACTCGGCCGCGGGGCGGCGCCGAGGGGCCCTGGACGTTGTTTGGCGCCAGTCGTTTAGGTCGGGAGCGGGAGTTAGGAGAGGAGCCTGCTCGGCACCAGGTTCCCTTGGCTGTCCTCCACTTGTGCCTTGCGGCGTACAAGTCGCCGCGCTACGTCTGTCTCTCTGGGATTATTGCGGGCCCCTTGAGGGCCGCTCATGAACTCATAGCTGGATGCAGCATGGCGACCTCGTTGATAAGGGTCCACGCGCTCGACGCGTTCGACACGGTCACTCGTTCGGTCAACTGGCATCGCATCGATCGTTGGACGTCGGAGTTCTCGTCGTTCGACGTTTACATCGATGATGCCAACATCTCGGCTAATGGTACCAGAGCTTATGTTCAGGACACCATTGTTAACGTGGCCTCTTTGCTCTCTGGCATTCGGCAGATGCTAGGAGGTCTCGTTGTTCTTGACAAGGTGGCTTTGGTGTGCTCCTGCGAATCTTTGGGCCGACAGCTGGAGGCTGACCTTGGCCCGTTTGGGGTGCTCGACTCTGCCGCTGTCAATCTCGGCTGTGACGACACGGTTGGAAGGAGCTGCAGAACGGGCAAGGGCAGGATGAGGAAACGCAAGGAGAGGAAGGTGAAGATGAGGCGGGAAGCCTTCAGGTTGAAACGGTTTCGGGCTCACTTTGGGCGCAAGGCTATCAAAGTGTTCACTTCTGGTCCGCTGTCTGGCTACATTTACGGCTGTGAAGTCCAGGGTTTGACGAATGGAGAGGTGCACAGTCTCAGACGTGTGGCGGCGAGTTCAATTCAGCCTGATGCTGCCCGTCGGTCCCTTGCCGTTCTTTCTCTTATTGTGGGCGACCCTGTTTGGCATGGCTCGGTCGCTCTTGTGTTGAGATACGCCAAAGAGGTCTGGCTTCTCAGGACAAATGCTTTTCCTGGTACCGTGGACTGGGCCACCATTCGGGCTTCTTGGGAAGGGGTGTTCGCCAGTCGCAAGACAGATATTACTTGGAGGAGCGTCTCGGGACCCATGATTGCTATGTACATGAGTCTTAGGAAGGTTGGTTGGGATATGAAGAGTGGTCGTTTTCTCGGACGACCAGGGGCGCGAGCTATCGTGCATTCAGCACTCGCCGTCCCTCTTTAAGGTGTTGCTGCACCAAGCCGTGCTTCGCCAGCTTGAGAGAGCGGCATGCGGCAAGTTGGTGGACGGCGACCTTCTCTGTGGCATATGAGTGCTGCCTCCTGAGCCTGCCATAGGCTTAGCTGAGCCTGCCGTGGAGTTGGCCCCCGATCGGACCCCCCCGAACTTGATGGATCGAATCGCCTCTGTTTCGATGTCGTCACGGCTGGGCTCCGCTCGAAAAAGCTCTCGGCTTGGGAAAAGGGCTCTGTGCGGGCTCTTGCGTGCAACGCTCTCTGGACCAACTCCCGCGCACTAAGGTACGGCTACCAGGTCAGTCCTCTGTGCCCGCTGTGCCAAGCTAAGGTGGATTCAGTGTTTCACAGATTATGGGGATGTGAAGTATGTCAGGAGGAACGGGAAGAACTTGTTGGAGCGGAGGTCATCTCTTGGGCCCGTGAAGCGTGCGAACGCAACTCCGGGGGCCAGGTCAACTTTCTGACTGGAGCGTTCGCCCATCCTGGTGACTATGTGCCGCAGCCTGTCTGTCAGCAAGGCATGGACGGGGTTCAGGTCGAGTTCTTCGAGCAGGGTTTCCTGGTCTCGGGGTTGGAGTTTCCTGGGCCGGGGGGCGTTCGTTTCGAAGGACACCTCTTCCTGGATGGTAGCTGCTTTCAGTCCAAGGTCCGTGAGTTGTCTAGGGCTGCTTGGGCCTTTGTGCTTTTGTCTGAACAGGGCCACATGCTGGCCAGAGTCTTTGGTCCTGTTTGGGCGCACCTGCCGCAGTCCTCACAGGCTGGCGAATTTTCCTCGCTGGCTGCGGCGGGGGTCAACCTAGACGGTCCCGCTTCCCTGTTCTGTGATTGTGCGTCGGTGGTCTCGGTCTGCTCCAGGGGCCCTAGGGGCCGCCTCGGAGGGCATAGGGCCTACGCGGGCTCTGTGCTGGAAGCTTTCTCTGGGGCGGGTCCTGACCTCCAGGGGATTGTGAAGGTCGCCGCGCACAAAGATATGAGAGAAGCTGGGATTTCTGAGCAAGGGGTCTGGAGAAGGACTGGCAATTTTCTGGCGGACCTTGCTGCGAAGCAGGGTGCTGGAGTCCATCCCCAGGCCTCTCCAGACGTGCTGTCTCGTGTGGAGCGCGAGATTGAGATTTTCAAGGCCGTCATCTTGCTGGCGGCGAAGATTTTGCCGAGATGGCCGCGGCTGGATCTTTCAGGCGTGCACTGTATCAAGCCGTCCAAGTCAGCTCTCGCGTTGAAGACGCCGCATGAGTGGGCCTGGACGGGAGAATTTTGGCAGTGCGGATCATGCTTGCGTGGCAAGCGTGGTGAGGTGCAGCCTGCGCCTGGCCACTGTGTGGCGCCGCCCCGTCTCTGTCTGATCCTCTTAGAGCAGCGCCATCACCAATGCGCTGTGGTTGATTGCTCAGGTTGCTCGTTCCTCTGTATCTGCCGTCGATGCGGTTTCTACAGCACGGGAGGCCGTGCCAAGAAGCTGGGTGAAGCCTGCGTCAAACAGTTTGTTGGCGCAGGACTTACGGCTTGGAAATATTTCTGCCAGGGCCGACACCCGCAGCATATCAAGAGGGACAAGCAAGTACAGTTCTTGCCCTCTCCTTGGACTGTGCTGTGAGGAGAGATGGTCCCCATTCGATGGGGGTCTGCATGGGTCGAGCGTGCAAAAAATCCTCCTCCTCCTCCTCTTCCTCCTCCTCCTCCTCCTCCTCCTCCTCCTCCTCCTCACACCTCCCCCTCCCCCTCCCCCTCCCCCTCCCCCTCCCCCTCCCCCCCCCCTCCCCTTCCCCCTCCCCTCCTCCTCCTCCTCCTCCTCCTCCTCCTCCTCCTCCTCCTCCTCCTCCTCTTTCCTCCTCCTCCTCCTTCTCCTCCTCCTCCTCCTCCTCCTCCTCCTCCTCCTCCTCCTCCTCCCTCATCCTCATCATCATCATCAATCATCATCATCATCATCATCATCCCCCTTCCTCCCTCCTCTCCTCCTCCTCCTCCTCCTCCTCCTCCTCCTCCTCCTCCTCCTCCTCCTCCTCCTCCTCCTTCCTCTCCTGGTGCGTGCAGCCGGAACAGGTGCACAGACAGACACGTTCGGAGGCCCGCGCGGACTTCTCGGGTCGGGGCACTGGCCCCGCCGTCCCCCCCGCACGCCGGGGAGGCACTTCTCGGCGCGGGCCTCCGAGGTCAGACATGTCCGTGTGGCTTTGTCGTCGTGCTCTTGCCAGGTTCCCACTCCCACCTCCTCCTCCTCCTACCGCCTCCTCCTTTTCCTCCTCCTTCCCACTACCACCTCCTCCTCCTCCTCCTCCGCCGCCGCCTCCTCCTTGGGGTCATTCTCTCTCTCTCTCTCTCGCTCTCTCTCTCTCTCTGCCTCTCTCTCTCTCGCTCTCTCTCTCTCTCTCTTCGCCAACTCCCTGTCTCTCTCCCTCCCGCTCCCCTTCGCCTCCCTCCTCCCTCCTCTCTCCTCCCTTCCTCATCTTTCTTTCCTAGCCTTGCGGCGTTCGTTCCCCAACGGACGCTCTCGAGTCTCGGCCGGCGCCCACCTCCATTCTCTCCTCTTCTTCCTCCTCCTTCTCCTGCTCTTCCTCTTCCTCTTCCTCCTTATTCCTCCGCTCTCTTCCTGCACGTCCTCTCTCCTCCCGTCTCTCCTGCTGTTTTCCTCCGCCTCCTGCTCTTCCCCTTCCTCTTTCTCCTCATTCCTCCTCTCTTCCTGCACCGCCTCTCTCCTCCCTTCTCTCCTCCTCCTCCTCCTCCTTCCGTCGATGCCCGAGCGGGCTGCCTGCGGGCCGCTCGGGCATCGACGGTCTGCACTCTCCGCGTCGACACGCGGCGGAGACTCGCCTCTCTCCTCTCTCCTCTCTCCTTGCTCCTCCTCCTCTTCCATTCTTCCCTCCTCCTCCTCCTCCTCCTCCTCCTCCTCCTCCTCCTCCTCCTCCTCCTCTCTCCTCTCTCCTCTCGCCTCTCTCCTCTCGCCTCTCTCCTCTTGCCTCTCTCCTCTCTCCTCTCTCCTCCTTCTCCTCCTCCTTTTCCGTAGCCATTTTGGCTCAAGTAGCTGTTCTGCGCTCAGGTGCTGAGTTTTGCGGACGCGGTTCTTCTTAGCGGCTCGCGTTCGCGGGCCAAAGTGTCTCGGTGGGGGCCGACCCCCCAAGTTTTTCAAGGTTTCACATCTCACCAGATGTACCAGTGGCGCAGTGGAACTTGGTCTGCCCCGCCCCCGTGGGCGCGGGCACCTGGCGCTGGCAGTGGTGGTCAGCTTGCTTCTGCTCTCCTTCCTGGCCCCCAGTGGCATTTCGACTCGCATGCCAACCACACGGGCCCAGGTAAAGCAGGAACTGGACGCAGGGCCTGTGCCGACTGCCCGTGCAAGAGGAACCCAGCGCACTACGCCTGCTGCAAGCACTGCAAGGCTCCGAGGAAGTCGCCAGCTGCGAACTGGACGGCGCCTCAAGGAGTCTGGGCCCACCCTCCAACACATTTCTCGAGTGTCTCCGGCAACGTGGGCCCCGCTGGTGTTTCGCGACGGGCGGCAGATTCTGACGGGGCGAAGTTGGTGGGGGCTGACGTGTCGGTCGACGACTCGGCGTCCCTGGCCAAGACGCTCCGGTCCGCTGGAGAGACAGACGGCGGAACGCTACCAGAAGACGCTTGGACAAGAAGCAGCGCCCAGCGGTCCAGTTCCCAGTGGAACAGCGTGTCCATCGTGCCTTTCACGGTCTCCGGCTGGCCGAGCAGCGCCTCAGCAAGGCCGTTGCGATGTTCAACAGCCTTGAGAGTAGCTTGGCCCAACAGCACTCTCTTGTTGGAAAAGCTAATCGTGAGTATTTGGAGCTTGAGGCCGCACATCAGAAACTGGTCGCTGAGCTTCACAACAAAGTCGCCAAGCCCAAGGAGGAGGAGCCGACAAAGCCAGCATAACTCTCGGTCAAATACATCCTCGAGGGCAAGAGCGACAATTTCATCAGCTACTTTTTGCAGACGCAGCGAAGCACACCGAGAAGATCAAGGCGGATCACCAAGAGTTGGTTGCACGGCTGGCCTCAAAGCGTCGTCGGGGCGAGGCTGGTGCAGTCCCTGCTTCGGGTGATGCCGCTGGAGCTGAGGCATCCGAGCCTGCCGCCAGTCAGCCTGTGGCCGCTGCCTCTGTGGGAGAGGGGGAGTGGGCACGGCGTTGGGGGCGGGAGAGGGTCAGGACAGGGGGCCCCGGCTCAGGGAGAGCCAGTCTGTGACAAGGCCGCCCGCATTCTTGCCAGCAAGCGGAGTGCAGGTCCTGCCGCGGGCTCGGCCCCAGGAGGTGGGCTCGGCTCCTAGCCAGTGCATGCCACTGCCTCTGGACTTGTCTCCCTCCTTACCTCCTCCTTTTCCTCCTTCATCCTCCTTGTCTCCTGGCTGGTGTTTTAACGCGTTCCAGCCCCGAGATTGGATCGCCTCAAGCACTCAAGTTTTTGATGGCTGCTGGTCTCCGCCGGGCGTTGGGAGGGTGGGAGGTTCTGGCTTCGATCGCGTTTCTGTGGAGGCTCCGCGTGGGCATGAGGCCATCTTTGAAGGCCAGGGCTTGAAGAATCGAGCAGCTGGGATAGCTGCTAGTCCTCTGCGACGTGCCATGCCTCATGCGAGTATATCTGGCAGCCTTCCCACAAGCTGCCCGAGATTTTTGTGTTCTTCCCGTGCCGTGAAGGCCCAGCTCAGTCAGATACTGTCTCTCTCAAGCGACCTGCCTCGGCGTCAGTTGATGTCTTTTCGTGGCCCCTCCCTGCAAAGGGCCGCGCCCGGGGTGGGGGGGGGCTCAGTGCCCCCCTTGATGTTGCTTCATTTCCTGTGGATAGTTTTTCGCCATGGATTGAGACCCGCAGCGTGTCCGGGTGGGGGTCCATGGTGTGGTCTGGGTCCAAGAGCATCAGCGACTCCTTCATCGAGTGGCGAGTGCTTCGGCTTGGGCGTTTCGGCACGGATGGAAGTCTCTCGGGGTCGCCGCGGTGCCAGGGCAAGGGCAGGGAGCTTCTGGTGGTGTCGCTGTATGTGTCCCTTCGTCTCTGGGCTTGCGGGCGCCCGACGCCGGCCATGAAGTTGCCCCCCTGCCGTGCTGCAGCCGGGTTGGTGGAGCTGCCTGGCCACGTCACGTTGCCGATGATATCGGCATCTTTCCACGACTGCGAGGAGATGTGGGATAGAAATGTTTCGCTATTTTCGTCGTGTGTTTCCTTGTGAGGTGCGCTGGGATTCCCTTTTTCCCTCGGTGCTGGTTTTAACATGGAACCTTCGACTCTCCTGGATTCGGGAGTGGGGGAAAGGAAGGGGTTCCAGTTTTTAGTTCCTGAGGGTCACGCGTGCAAGTCTACTGCAAGACTCAAGCAGTGCGACTACTTCGTGGCGTCGTCAGGCGTGACAAAAGCAGTGGCTACGGTTTCAGTGATTTGCGAAACTAATCGCCGCACTCCCCAGTGCAGCTTGTGCTGCACCCAGCCCTGGGCCGCCTCAAAACCCTTGCCTTCAGGAGCCCCCCGCCGCTACCTACCGCCCCGTTGGCCCCCGTTTGCGTGGTCGATTCGGCCCCTCCGTCTCACGGGGCGTTGCATATTTTGGCCATGGCTCAGCGGGCTGCGGGCCAGGGCGATTTTCAGCGGGCCCAAGAGGGCTTGGATAGGGGGTGCAAGGAGTAGGCTCGCAGGGCTGAGAGGGAGGTGGCCGCTGCCACGGGCGCGACCCTCCCCGTTCGGGGCGCCAGGGCCAAAGCCCCCCATATGTTTTGGGGACCCCTTCTGCAGAAAGGCACCTCCGGTGGCAATTCGCACCTCTTCTCGTGCAGATGGCTAGGCGCATTGTCCGCCTCAGTGCTCGCGCACTGGGACGCGCAGAACGAGGCGGGCCTGAGGGAAATGCTCGGCCGTCGGGGCGAGCCACCGCCTCAGTTGGTCGCGAATCTAGCACATTTAGAATCTTCTTTCCAGGCTCTTCTCCACTTCGTGCATGAGTTGCCCTTGTGCGAGTCGCCCGAAGGACCTTGTTATGATTTTTGTTGTTCATCTTCAAGGGTGCTTTTGTTCGGCATTGTGCGACGTGGAGGCTGACGCCCGTCGGGTGGCCCATCAAGAGTGGAGGGAGTGGTTGCTGTGCAAGGCGAAGCGTGGTGCTCGTCGTGTCCACGCGGTGTCGAAAGGTGCGACCCCATGGCAACCTTCTTCGACCCTCTCCCTTGATGGGGTGGTGGTGGCGGACCCCCTTTGCCTCCTGAAGGCGGAGTCCAGGAACTTCTCCAAGCTCTGGGGGGATGCCGGTTTGGGTCCGTGGTTTGAACTCGGGGGGGTCGCCTCTTATTCACCCCCTGTGCCCGTTGAGGCTGTCAGGGGATGTTCTTGGAAGTTCAAGGACAACACTTATGTGTCGGTTGATGGGTTTCTCGTGCGCCATTCTGCCATGCTTAGTGACAGTTCGTTGTGGGTTGTGGTTTCGATGTTCTGAGTGATGGAACGGTCTGCCCTCGTCCCGTGCCAGATTGCGGTCACTTTGCTGTCTCTGATCCCCAAGGCGACTTCGGGCTTCAGGCCGATTGGCATGCCAATTTTTGTGTTCTGTGCCGGGCTTATGGGAAGGTTCGGAGGCCGATGGCTCAGAGCTGGGAATCCTCGCACGCTCGTGCAGACTCCGCGGCGGGCCCCGTTTCGAGGGTGCCCAGGCCGTGGTTTGGAGGCGGGCCGTCGGGGCAGAGCCTTCGACCGCAGTCGTGAGACTGTGCGTGTTCGGGGGCCTGCTCGGGCACCGTGCCCCCCAGACCCCGCAGGCGGCCGAGTTCCCGCCCTGTCTGTGTCGATCCAACGGTCCACGCGGGTCCGTGTGATGTTTTTCCCGGCTGCCAGAGCTGCGCTGATTTTGCGGCACTGCCTTGGCCTGAGCAGGCTCTTCGGCGAAGCGCATGTTTTCTGGCATTGCTCAGTTTGTCAGAGAGCACTGGCCTAAAATTTGCCTGATCAAGGTTCGAGCCCGCCTCGACGTGGATCAGGCCACTGACGACTGGGACCGCTATCTGAGGCAAGGCAATGAGTGGGCAGACGTGTCGGCCAAGCAGGCGGCTTCTTTGCATCCCGCGCCTCTGCCGTGTGAAGCTGATGTGCTGGACAGGCATCTGGCGGTAGCCAGGGCGGTAGGGCGCCTTGCTGCCCAGCAGCTCCCACTCTGGCCTCGTCTGGACATGGGGCCAGACGTCCAGCGTATTTCTGCCCCGCCTGCGCCTTCGCAGGCTCCGACCACCCCCCACAGGTGGCTCTGGGTGGGCAATGTTTGGCAGTGCGCTGCTTGTTTGAGAGGGAGGAGGGGGAACTCGATGCGTTTGGCGGCTGGGGGATCCTGCTCCCTGGCTTTACGCGTGCAGCCGGCGGTCCTCCGTGAACTCGGGCACCGCTGTGTGGTCACATATTGCTCCGACGGCTCTGTTTTTTGTGTGTCTGCCAGCGCTGTAATTACTCGACGTCAGGTGCCAGGCTGGCTAATCTGGCTAAGCCTTGCAAGTCGGGCAAGAACGTGTGTCACAGCAGTCCGTGGACGAAGCTGGATCGTGGGCCCCATCCTACAAAGGCTGGTGCCACTGTTGACCTCGACTTGTTTTGCCGTATTTAGGGCTTGCCTGCCCCGCCGTTGCGCTCGCCACGCCGCGGTCTTCACCTTGGCTGGATGGAGGGTTGACCTCAAAACAATCCTCCTCCTCCCTTTTTCCTTCCTCCTCCTCCTCCTCCTCCTCCTCTCTCTTCTCTCCTCTCTCCTCTTTCCTCCTCCTCTCTCCTTTCTCCTTTCTCCTCTCTCCTCTCTCCTCTCTCCTCTCTCTTCTCTCCTCCTCCTCCTCCTCCTTCTCCTCCTCCTCCTCCTCCTTCTCCTCCTCCTCCTCCTCCTTCCTTTTTCCGTCTTCCTTATTCCGCCTCTCTCTTCGTGCACCTCCGCTCTTCTCCGTTCTCTCCTTCTATCCCTCCTCTTTCTCTTCCTCCTCCTTCCGTCGATGCCCGAGCGGGCTGCCTGCGGGCCGCTGCACTGCGCGGGGCGCAGGATTTCCCTTTGGCCGCGAGCTAGCCTGCGGCGGGGACTCACCCTGCACTCTCCGCGTCGACACGCGGCGGAGACTCGCCTCGCATGCTTTTTTTCCTTCCTCGTTCCTCCTCTCTCTTCCTGCACCGCCTCTCTCCTCCCTTCTCTCCTCCTCTTCCCTCCTCCCTCCGTCGATGCCCGAGCGGGCTGCCTGCGGGCCGCCACACTGCGCTGGGCCAGGATGTCCCGCGCGCCGCGAGCTCGCTCGCGGCGGGGACTCACCCTGCACCCTCCGCGTGGACGCGCGGCGGAGACTCACCTCTCTCCTCTCTCCCCTCTCCTCTCTCCTCCCCCTCCTCCTCCTCCTCCTCCTCCTCTTCCTCCTGCGTTTTCTCTCCTCATCATTCCTCCTCTCTCTTTCTGCACCTCCTCTCTCTTACCTTCTCTCCTCCGCTTCCTCATCTTCCTCTTCCTCTTACTCCTGTCGATGCCCGAACGGGTCCTCTTCTTCCTCTTCCTCTCCCTCCCGTCGGTGCCCGAGCGGGCTGCCTGCGGGCCGCCACACTGCGCTGGGCCAGGATGTCCCGCGCGCCGCGAGCTCTCTGCGGCGGGGACTCACCCTGCACCCTCCGCGTCGGCCCTCCCCCTCCTTCTGCGGCTGAACCCGTGCGTTCGTGAGTATGGCGCGAGGCCCTGCTCGTGTCGAAGTAGACGAAGCGCTGTGAACATCCTCCCCAATCCGTGCCCGCTCGTGGCAAGTGTCCGAGCCCGCTCGTGCGGGTGTGCCAGCAGCCGACGTTTGTTTGTGCTTAGCGTTAAGTCGGGCCTGTCCCCCTACAGGAGGATTTTGGAGGAAAAATTAAAAATACCTATACGACCACCCTTCGGGTGGTAAGGAGGTTCGGGGGGGGGGGGGAACCAACGTCTCACTCAATCGGTCTCACTATCGATCTCATTATCGATCTCACTATCGGTCTCGCTCGATCGATCTCACTCGATCGATCTCACCATCGGTCTCACTCGATCTATTTCATTCGATCGATCTGACAATCGATCCGACCATCGATCTCACAATCGATCTCACTATCGATCTCACTATCGATCTCACAATCGATCTCACATTCGGTCTCACTATCGATCTCTCTATCGAAATCACAATCGATCTCACAATCAACGTCATCATCATCAACATCATCGTCATCAACGTCATCAACATCATCATCATCATCATCATCATCATCATCATCATCGGGGCACCATCGTCATCATCACCTCATCACCATCATCATCATCAACAACACCATCATCATCACCATCATCATCATCGGGGCACCATCATCGTCACCTTCAGCATCAACACCATCATCATCGGGACACCATCATCATCATCATCATCGGAGCACCACTATTATCATTATCATCATCACCATTTCAACGTCATCATCATGAACAACATCATCAACACCATCATCATCATCATCATCACCATCAGCATCATCATCATCATCATCATCGGGACACCATCATCGTCATCAGCAACATCATCATCAACATCATCATCATTGGGACACCATCATCATCGTCACCACCATTATCATCACCAGCATCATCATCATCATCATCATCATCATTAGGACACCATAATCATCAAGATCAGCATCATCATCATCACCATCATCGGGCCACCATCATCAAAATCATCATCATCACCTCATCATCATCCTCGTCGTCAACATCATCATCATCGGGACACATTGATCGTCATCATCATCATCACCAACGTCATCATCAACGGGGCGCCATCATTCTCACCATCATCATCAACATTATCATCATCATCGTCATTATCATCGGGACACCATCACCACCATCATCATCTTTATCATCGTTATCATATCATCATCATCTCATCATCATCAACATCATCAGGGCCCTCAACATCATCATCATCGTCATCGGGACACCATCATCATCACCAGCAACATCATCATCATCATCATCATCATCATCATCATCATCATCATCATCATCATCATCATCATCATCGGGACACCATCATCATCACCACCATCACCATCCTCATCATTGTCATCATCATCAACATCGTCAGCATCATCATCATCATCATCATCATCGTCATGATCATTGGTTACCACCATCATGACAACCACCATCACCATCATCATCATCATCATCAACACCATCATCATCATCATCATCAACACCATCACCATCATCATCATCATCATCATCATCATCATCATCATCATCATCGGGACACCGACGGGACACCGGCGGGACACCGCGCGCCACAGGCCCCCGGTGAGGAATCATTTGGTCCGGCCGCGCCTCAGCCGGAGGAGACTCTTCTCGCCCGCCCACGCAGTTTCGTTTTGCCCGCACGCACGGCACGCACGAACACGAAACCGAAACCGATTTCCCGGTAGGGGGGCTCTCCGTTCCACTTCGATCTCACCCCCTCACCTCCGATTCAAAAAACATTCAAAAGATACCCCAAAATAATCAAAAAATAGTCCCCAGATTTTTTTGGGGACTGTTTTTGGATATTCCTCCTGTGGGGGGGCGGGCCCAGCTTGAGCTCCGTGCCGGGGGAGAAGGCGTGGCAGATCGTGAGCCCTCCGAGGCCCGCGCGGATCTCTCGGGAGTGCCCCCGAGGGCGGCGCCGGGGAGGCGGCGCCGGGGAGGCGCCGCCAGGGAGAGGCGCCTCCGGGGAGGCGACGCCCGGGCGTGCAGCGCGGAGCGAAAGGCATCCGCGCGGAGCTCCGCAGGCTCACGGTCTGTTCCGTGCTTTCTTCCCCGGTGTTCCGTGCTGCGTGTGGCAAGTTCCGCCGCCATGCCAACCCAGCATTCTGGGTGGCGGCTGTTCGAGAGGCAAGGGAGGCCTGGTGATGAGGAGGGGCAGCACGAGGGAGAGGAGCAGAGTAAACCCAATCTGCATCAGAGGCGCTGCAATGCACCCTCCCGTCCCACTTCCCGGTCCCCTCCTCATGCGTCCCTGCAAGCTTTTCTTTTCACTACAGGAAGCGCCCCCCTTGAAAGACCATCGCAGTCGGGCCTGCCACTTTGGCGAGGCCCCCGTCTTGGAAAGGAACTGCCCTGCGCTGGTGCGTACTCAGCAGTTCACCGAGGTGTCCAACGAGATCTCCTTTCGAAGAACCGCCTCCCTGCAAGCCTCAGCTTCCACGATCATAACAACCTGAACTTACCGCAAAAATGTCAAATCTTCGGTAAACAATGCGACGATTGTTCGATTTGGCAAAAAAACGTGTGTTGAAATCCCAGGTCGTCAGAATTACGAGGCCTCGAAAGAGGAGGAGGAGGAAGAGGAGGAGGAGGAGGAGGAGGATGGGGAAGAGGAGGAGGAGGAAGCGGAGGAGGAGGAGGAGTTAGAATTTTGAGAAGGTCAGCTCTCAACCATTCATTCAGAAGTCGAACGTGCTCGGGGCACGGGCGAGCGCACCAGTTTGAAAGCCACCCGCGCTCAATCCTCGCATTTGGTTGTCATATTTTGTGGCGACTGTGCGTGGCGCTATGGAGAGAGTATTTTTTTTGAAAAGCAGCCAGCTCCCACCCTTCAGACTATTTCAGCATGTCGAAACAAATGTGCGCGCCAAGGCGAGACCACAATTTTGAAACCGACCCTCCTCCCACTCTTGAAGCTTCTGCAAAGTTCTGAGCCGAATGTGCGCGGCCCTAGGGCGAGAGTCACCTTTCGAAACGACCTGTGATGCATCCTTGAAGCTGCCGCAAGAATTTGAGCCGATTATGCGCGGCGCTAAGGCGAGAGCACCATTTTGAACAGGACCCCCTCCATACCTGAAGCTGTCGCAAACTTTAAAGACGAATGTGCGACGCGCTATGGAGAGAATCACATGTTGACGCCCTGTCCTTCTAGCTTTTTCTGAACTGTTGAAACGAATGCGCGGCGCTAAGGCGATAGCCACACATTGAAAACCATCCCCTCCATCCTTGTCGCTGTTGCACACTTTTAAGACGAATGCGTCTGGCGTTCCGGCGAGAGCAGCATTCTGAAGACGACCCGTGCTCCACCCCTGATCATGTTGCAACTTTCAAGTTCCAGGATCACAAGTGGTCAGGACGTCTCAGGTAACGTCCAGCTCGCCCTACCGACACGCCTGGGAGTGCGGCAGTGAGTAGTTAGTAATAAGGAAGGTGGATGCAGGAGTAGCGGGATGGTGATCATGATGATGATGCTGCTGCTGATGATGATGATGATGAGGAGGAGGAGGAGGAGGAGGCGGAGGAGGAGGAGGAGGCGGAGGAGGAGGAGGAGGAGGAGAGGAGGAGGAGGAGGAGAAGGCGGAGGAGGAGGAGGAGGAGGAGTAAGGGGAAGGCCGTCACATGTGGCACCTTTTGTTTCTCTTTCTTGGGGAGCTTTGGGCTGCGATGGGGCTGCCTGGGGCTCCCGTGGGGCCAGCTTGGGGGTCCCATGGCGCCGTCTGCCCTCTTCGGCCGTCCTGGGGCCCTCCTCCTCCTCCTCCTCCTCCTCCTCCTCCTCCTCCTCCTCCTCATCCTCCCCCTCTTAGACCGTCTTGGGACTCTCTTGGGTCGCCTGGGGGCCCTCTTGGCCGTATGGGGGGTGTCGTGGGGTCGTCGTGGGGCCGTCGAAGGGCCTTCTGCGTCCATCTTGGATCTCTTTGGAGGCCGTCTTGGGCCGTCTTGGAGGCCTCTTGGGCGGCCATCGCGGGGTCCTCTCGGGCCGTCTTGGGACTCTTGGGGGCCTCGTTGGGCCGTCTGGTGGCCATCTTGGACGTTTCTTGGGCCGTCTTGAGCTGGGCGAGCATGCAACCATCTATTTTTAAAAACCAAATTGGGATCCGTGAGTTTGCCGTCTTCGGACCCTGTTGGGGGTCTTCTAGTGGCTCTTCTTGGGCCCTCGTTGAGGCCTCTCGGGCTGTCTTGGGCCGTCTCGGGACCTTGGTTGCCTGCCTCGGCCGTCTTGGAAGCTCGGGATCGCGGAACCATCGGTTTTTGCGAGCGAGTTTTTTGTTGTTGTGTTTCTTTCCTGGATTGTAAGGGAGACCGCGGCCTCGGGAGGGGGGGCGGAGCACGCAACACTCTGCGACGTGAGGGGGGGGGAGGGGCGGTAGAAACAACGCGGGAACCCTACCAGGTAGTCCTTCGCATCTTGCCACGCCTCGACGTGCCATGCACGGTGGCGGAGAGTCCTGCGTCGCGGGCCTCTGCACCGTATGCTGGCCTGCCTAGTTAGTGCTCTCCGGAGATCCACCCGTGCCAGCTGAGCGACAGCAGAAAACGGGGTCGTTTGCGCCGATACCGGCGCGTAAGGTGGCCGCGTAAGGTCGCGCGGAAGCGCCCTCGTCTCCAATGCGGCGTGCCGCGCTGGCGGCCCTCGTAGGCCGCCAGCGTAAGGTCGCTATGCCATCTCGCGCAAGACACGTTCTTGATAGTCGCTCAGCTGGCCCGTGATGCCGCAGAGAGGCCGCTGGCCCCTCCCTTCGCTGCTCTTGCTTGGGGGGAGAGGACTGCAGCCAGACGACCAGCGCCTCGTTTTCTTTCGAGGCGCCGGCCCCGTGGGCCTGTCGACCACCTTCCCCTGGGCCTCTCTCTCTCTCTCTCCCCGGGCAGTGCTTGCACCCAGGGGCTCTGCTCCTCAGCCTGGCATCGCTCGGGCGTGTGCAGCTCTTCCCCGGCCGGGGCCATCGCGAAGCATCGTGGATCACCTGGCGACCACGCGCGCACGCCATCGAAGCATGCACGGGGCGTGGACGCCCGAGCGAGGGCGGGCCCGTGCGCGAGCAGCAGCCGGCCGTGCAGCTCGTGCCTGCCGCCTTCGCTCCCCCGCCCTGTTCTTCTGGGCGCCCGCGTGCGGCCCGCGCCCCTTGGGGATGGTGCCGCTCTCGTGCCCTCCGTCGCTCGGAGCGCGGGCGTCCTGCTCGCGCCCGCCTCGCCGCGGTGGTGGCCCCGAGCGCTGTCCCGAGAGATCGGCAGATGAGCAGCTCGCGGGATCGATGGGCGGTGCGACCCGTCGTCCGCGAGATCGGCGGGTGGGAGAGAGAGGGCGTGCCCGTGGGGCACTCCTCCCTGTCGTTCGCGAGATCGGTGGGTGGAAGAGAGCGCGTGCCCGTGGGAGACTCCTCCTCGCAAAGGGGGGCCCCAGCTTCAAGCTGCCCCCCTGTGGGCTTCGGCGCGGGGGGCGCCCCCGTGCGCCGCCTCGCCGCCGCCTCTCGCGCGCCGCCGCGCGCGCGCCGGCTGGCGCGACCCCGGGCTCTCGCCCGGCCGGCGCCCAGTGCCACCTCGTCGCCGCCTCGCTGCCGCCGCCCCCGGGCCCCCTCGGGTACAGTCGGGGAGCCGAAGAAGGAACCCTTTTCGCTGGGGAGGGGCTCCGTGTTCCCTCACTGTCTCGCGGCTTGCCCTCGGTTTCCCTTCGGCCTTCGATGTGGAATCGAAGCGCGACTCATGGAAAAGAGGGGCCGCGTTCCTTACTTAGGGTGCCTTAGGTCAACGCTCCGACGGTATAAGGAACAGACCCCGACTCGGGAGGCTGCTCGTCACCGTCGGTCTCCGGGGGGGCCCTGGCCGGGCCTCGGGAGCGCCAACGGCACGACGCAGGACGAGGAACGGGTCCAGGAGAGTGGGCCGAGACCTCCTCTGGGGGTCGACGCTGTGAGAAAGTCACGGCGTCGACGGGCCTGGGTCGTGCGCTCGCCGGCGTTTCGGGATGACCACTGGCGTGCCCTGGCCTGCATCACACAGATTGCGCTACTTGACCCGTGCAGTCGGACCGAGGCATCAGATCGAGGTCGGTTCAGCGAGGGTGCCCTAGTGTTGTGCTTCGTGCTTGTTGGATGTTCTCGTGCACCCTGGGGAGGATGCCCTTGGATGTCCTGTGAGTTTTGGCCGGCGGAGGGAGGATGTTCTTTTGGCCTATAGGTCCGACTGTACCACGGGCACTGCACCAACTCGTATAGACTACACATCCAGAGTGCAAAAGCTCATTGTTTGGGGTCAAAGCTGGCAAACAGTCATGCCCCCCTGTCTTCTGGTGGGCCCCAGGCCCGAAACCTGGCCTCCACAGGCCCAGAATGGCGGAACACCGACCGCCTCGATTTTTGTCGAGCTGTCGGGGGCGCCTGTGTCCACTCCTTGCCCCGCCCCATTCGGAGGCGACAGGGGCGGATAGCCTCACTCTTCGTCGTTTTGCTTCTTGTCTCCTCCCGCCCCCTCCGTCGCCGTGCAGTACAGACTGCCCACGCCCCCTCCCTCCCCCATCCCGCGGGGGCGGAGGCGGACGCGGAGAGGGGACGAGGAAGAGGGAGTTGGAGTAAGAGGAGGGATGGAGGGAGGAGGGAAGTGGGAGGAGGGAGGAGGTTGGTCCTGTTTTTTAGATAGTGGGACGAGGACCGCCTGTTCAGCCATCGCTCAGGCGCTGAAAGTATGCGTTGCATGGGGTTCAGTGTGCCATGCATTTCTCCCGAATCTCCTATGCCACTCCCTTTTAGCGAAAGTCGCTCACGCTTGAGTCGTCTGAACAGGAGCTGAAATCCTGGGCTTGCTCCGACGTTGCATACCACCAAGTCATGCATGCTGCTCCTGTGTGCAAATTCTGTTTAGCTTGTTCGCTTGATCGTAGCCAGCTGACCGCATCTTTCAGTCAAAGCGGTATCGTCACGGAGCTCGGTCCGCCACCGTGAAAAGAAAAGGGAGACATGCAGAGGGAGGGAGCAGAAGACGCAGGAGCAGGAGGGGGGAGGGAGGGAGGGAGGGAAGACGGAGGGAAGGGGGAGGGAAAGGGAGGGAAGGTGGAGGGGATGGGAGCGGAGGGATCATGCTGCTGCAGCAGTTGATGTTGGTGATGATGAAGATGCTGCTGCTGCTGCTGATGATGCCAATGCCGATGCTGATGATGGTGATGATGATGAGGAGGATGATGATGATGCTGATGACGATGATGACGAGGATGGGGATGATGACGACAATGATGATACTGTTGCTGCGGATGGTGCTGATGGTGACGTTGATGATGCTGATGTTGATGATGACGATGCTGACTCATATTATGCTGATGCTGCTGCTGCTGATGATGGTGACGATCACCATGATGATGGTGATGATGGTGCTGATGATGGTGGTAATGATGATGCTGATGCTGATGATGCTGATGACGATGCTACTGATGATGACGACGATGATGTTGATGATGTTGATGATGATGATGATGATGATGATCATGATGATCATGATGATGGCGATGCTGATGATGAGGATGATGCTGCTGTTGATGATCATGATGATTATTATGCCGATGCTGGTGATGACGATGACGATGATGAAGTAGACGGTAACGAATCATACGAGCCATCATTTTGTGATGACGATGACGAGCCGATGCTGGTGACGAGTGATGATGCTGATGATGATGTTGTTGATGCTGATGATGATGGTGATGCTGTTGATGATGCTGATGATGATGCTGATCATGCTGATGATGATGACGATTATGATACTGCGGATGATGCTGATAATGATGCTGGCACTGCTGCTGATGATGGTGATGCTGATGACGATGATGCTGATGATGATGATGCTGATGCTGAAGGTGTCGTTGATATCGATGATCATGACGACTCGAATGATGACGATGCTGCTGTTGATGATGATGTTTCTGCTGACGATGCTGGTGCTGTTGATGCTGATGCTGCTGCTGATGATGATGATGACTGTGATTATGGTGATGACGATGTTGGTGACGAGTGATGATAGTGCTGATGATGCTGATGGTGATGATGAGGATGATGATGATGATGCAGATGGTAATGGTGATGGCGATATTGACCCCGACGATGATGATCCATGATGGTGGTGATGGTGATGATGATACTGCTGATGATGATGATGACGATTCTGATAATGATGATGATGATGACGGTGATGGTGGTGATGACGATGATGACCATGATGCTGATGAGGATGCTGCGGATACTGATGCTGATGCTGATGCTGATGCTGCTGCTGATGCTGATGTTGCTGATGATGATGGTGTCAATGACGATTCTGTTGAGTATGATGATGCTGATGTTGTTGTTGATGATGCTGATTGATGATGACGGTGGTGTTGGTGGTGGTGGTGGTGATGATAGCAGTGGTGGTGGTGGTGGCGATGATAATGGTGATGATGCTGAATCTGAGGATTCTTGTGATGATGCTGATGATGATGCTGATGATGATGGTGATTGGCGGCGATGATGATGACGATGACGATGATGATGCTGATGATGATGTCGATGATACTGATGACGATGATGATGTTGATGATGACAATAATGTTGATGTTCTTGTTGTTGTTGATGATGTTAATGGTGGTGGTAATGGTGGTGGTGATCATGATGCTGATGTTGATGATAGTGATGGCGAGGAGGGGTAGGGCGAGGAGAAGGAGGAGTGATGGATGGATGGATGGATGGATGGATGGATGGAGGCAGGGAGGGAGGGAGGGAGGGAGGAGGAGGAGGATGAGGAGAAGGAGGAGGAGGAAGAGGAGGAGGAGGGGAGGAGGAGTAAGAGGAGGAAGGAGGGTAGGGAAGATGGAAGAGGGAGGAGGGAGTATGGAGGAGGGAGGTGGGAGGATGAGTTGTAGTATTGCCGCCACTCTATGCTCTCCTCATCCGCTGCCGTTTCACCCCTCAGCAGTCTTCAGACCAATTCCACTGCAACCAAAACAGTGTGCATATCCTTTGATTTCTCTCCATTACATCGCTTTCGATTCTGGTAACGGAGCTGAAGTGAGGTTCCGCTCCCTACTCTCGCAACCAGAGGTGCCAGCATCGCGGAGTGGCAGTCCAACCACTCCGTTAGCTCAAATGGCTTTCCAGGTTTCTTTCGCCAACTTACTGAATTGACTCACTAAGCCTGGACTCAATTCATTGACTGGATCGTACTTACACCTTGACAGCTTGTCGGGTGCAGCGGCATTATTCTCTTACTCGTACTTCTTCATCGCCGTCTCGACCCACTGGCTAAGACTATGGCGAGCCGTGGAGAGCACTACGACTCGCAGTGCTTGTAGGCATCCTGGGATAATGCGGGCAGCTTTGGTGCACCGCAGCAGCCTTCGCACCGCGTGAATGCGCAGACGGCGACGCCGAATACTGGGAAGGTGCCGCCCTACTCAGCCTAGGAGCTGGAACTCCAGGGCTGTCCGTTTTGGACCTGCCTCCAGGGCTAACCGTTTTGGAACCACGCCAGTACGAACACAGCAACACGAACGATTTACGATGGATCCAGGCCGCTCGGAGCACAGAGCGGTGGTCGTCATCTGAGGGGGCATTCGTTTCACAAGCTTGAGCTGAGTATCTTCTTTGTCGAGGCTACGGCCTTCACGCCATGCCCTAAAGGGCACGGGCGGGCTCCCCAGTGGAACACGCACGGCTCCGGCGTTCCTTGCTTCCTTCCTTCCTTCCAGGATGTCAGGATTTGGAGCTGCCCAGGGCGGTGCTGTGGTTCAGCGCCTCAGCGGTGTTGCCGGGCAGCCCGGCTGCAGCGTGGGCCCGCTGCAGGTGCGCAGTGACTGGCAGGAGCTGCATCAGGATGGCAAATGCCTCCCAAGACGCCGCCCTGGAGCTGCTGCCACGCGGCCCCTCCCAGTGGCTCGGCGCCAGGGGGTTCGAGATGCCGATTCCCTCGGTGATCGAGCTCCTCGCCTTTCGGCGGCTCAGCCGCGGGCGGATCGACGGCTGCTTGGGCCGCTTCGAGCTTATCCGCCAGCGATCCTGGGACCTCGGCGGTCTCCAGGCCAGCATCGGCGGCCTCAGCTGCATGTTGCTTCACCAGCGTGGCGTCCACACTGGGCACTGGCCACTCCTGCCCACACCTCGCCAGGGCTGGCTCCCACGCGACGAGCCCGACTTCGAACGTTTGCTGCCGCAGGTCCGCGACCGATGCCACCTGCGGGAGCGCGCGCGCCGGCGCTCGGACCCTCCAGGCAGGGTGGCGCTTCCCGGCCACTGCGGGAGCGTACTGGAGCGAGCCGCTTGGCGGCGAGGGCCAGCAGTTGGACAGTACCTACGGTATGGGCGCTTGTGTGTCTCACCGGGGCGGCGAGCGGCAGTGGTTCGCCAGTGGGCAATCAGGCTTGAGCCTGGCCTTTCGACAGCCAGCATCAGGTCTCGCCGGTTTTCCTGCCGAACACGTGGGCCTCTGCGGCGACGTCGGACACAGAGAGCGAAGACGACTTCGACGGCACCGATGATGCCGAGAAGCTTGAGTACCTACGGGGACTTCGCCGACGTCGCCAAGGATGGCCTGCCTCATCATTACCTGATCGCGAAGCCCAGCTCCAGAAAGCTCAAGGGAAGACCTCTTCGTCGTCACGGACGCGGCAGAGGCGTTGACAAATGTAACGGTGCGAGAGGTGAGGACTATGATCCACTGCCTGGGGGTGGTTCTGGTAGGGGGGCTGGGCACAGCTCTGGTAGGAACCCGTCTGGCGGGGGCCGCCCATCCAGGACTGGCCCATCAACCAGGGCTCCTTAACCCGTGGCAGGCGATGGCGCCACTGGGCGGGCCCCAACGCGATTCAAGCCTGTTTGACCTCGTCAAAGGCGGGGGGCTCGCTGGGCTTGCTCCTCCCGGCGCGCGCTTTCCTTCCGCCGTGGCGTCAGCCCGTGCTGGGCGTGCTGGGCAGGATCAGAGAAGATTCCACGTAAATCTTGAGAGGTACGACTCGTGTGCGAGGGCAATGACGATGCCCTGCCGGATGATGGGCAGGGCTGGGTGCCGAGACGTGGCGGCAAGGCTGAAGGCAAAACGAGGGCGCCTTGGCGCGAACACGTCCAAGGCCAGCAGCCTAGGACCTCACTCCTCTTCCCCCTCCCCAGGTGGCATCGTCCCGACGATGCTACAGGGCAGGGCAGCCTTCCAGCCTGGCCATCGTGATCGCTCGTGAGGGCGACGCGCTGCTGGTGGATCCAGGGCTGCGTGGCAAGCTGAGCAAGCTGTACTCGGCGACAGGACGGAGCGGGCGTGGGGCTCGACGCTGCTCCGAGGTGGACAGACCGAGAAGTTCCAGGTCGTGGCGCAGAGAGGCGCGCCCAGGACTGCGACCACAGGGTCACGTGAGCGACGCAGACAAACGGGGGTCGTCTTCACCGACATTCGCGCGTAAGCTGCCCGCGTAAGGTCAAGCGTAGGCGCCCTCGTTTCCAGTGTGGCGTGCCGCGCCGGCGGCCCGCGTGAGCCGCCACCGCCTGAGGTCGCTGTGCCATCTCGCGCCAGACCCGTTTTCGATCGTCGCTCAGCTGTCCTGTCGGCCTTGGGG